ATAAGGACTCTAGATTGGATAATAAGCTATATAAAGAAGTGGGCAAAAGAAGACATATGGGCTAAGGAGACCAAGACGTAGCATAGGAAGTGTAAAGCTAGACTAGCGTTAGTAGCCCTTTCGGCTCGGCCGCCGGGCGTAAATAAATTGTGTGTATAGCTCACATCAGCACTGGAGACGCAAGAGAAATTTCTATCGCAGATTTTCAATTTCATGTGACACATGGACGTTTGAAGACGTGAAGTATCAGCAAGAAACGGCACAGAGGTGAGTATAAATATCCACATGTGTCCACATGGATATATAGCAAACAAGCAAGAATCACAACTATTTCTCATCATTCTCACGCAAATCACTACGCCCTCCACGCATACATATCGAACGAATTCACAAAAACTTCGGGACGAAGCTGTGCTTGCTCAGTATCGTAGCCATGGCTACTGCCGCATCCGCGCAGGCCTGGGTCCAACTCACGATGTCACGCTGCAATCGTAGCCTGACGAAGACATTTTCCATCTACACCAAACGCATCACCGATTTACACACTATCATGGGCGGTCCGGTCTGCCAGATCAAGTTGACTGGAGTCGTATCGCGGGGCGTCGGAATCGACAATGTATTCTACCTAGCCTACGCGAGCTCTAACCCGAAATCAGGGCAAAGTGGCGTCTACGTCGCATATCACGACCAACACCTGGCGGATCATGATGTCAGCTTCATTGAGTGCCACGAACCAACGAATGACAGTAGTGACGGAGGTGGTATAGCAGTCAGAACAACCCGTGAACGGCACCAAAGAGGGGCGCAGCTTTAGCCAATTCTTTTACCTACCTAATGTTCATTGACTATCAACAATATCTTACTCTACATATGCATCACTCTAGTAGTGTCATCATCTCCAGTACTCCTACAAAGAATAGTGTTTTTATCACCTATTACTCTACGAAGGATCCGAGCTCAAGATGGGCGGACTTACTGCTCGTTCGATGACGCTATGAAATCTGACCTAGCAGCGCAAAAGGGCATCTTGTTCGCTGGCTGCCGTTGCGGGACATGACGGTGTAGCGAGTACCACTGAAGCGCGCAAAACACTACTTTTGTGTGTCATTGTCGCGCGGAGCAATTGATGTAGCTGGGAAGCTAAGCTGAGTACAGGATGTCTGTCAAGGCACTATATCCAGTCTGGTAGGCCAGATTTGGCAATGCAGTAACAGTATGTCTGCTCTGGCGCATCACTTCCTTCTTCCATCAGCACCTCGCTGACTATGCTGCCGATTCTGCAATCTTCATTTTCTTCATACCATTCCCAAGTCTTCATTTCGACAGGCTCATCTTCCGCAGTCCTATCTTCATAGATTGGCGCCTCGATCGGGAGCAAAGGTGGGCCGACGCAAGGTCTGTTATTGGGTCGGTGCTCCATATTTGCTTACCGTTAGCTGTCAGGCAAATGCAAAAGCAAACTTCATGGTGCCCTTATTTTTGGATGGCAAGAGGTTTAGTGTGTTAAGCTGCAAAGTGCATTGCGAGTTGGGATTCGGCATTGGTGATTCTGGCAGAAGGTTGATAAGAGCTTTCGATAGCTTGTTCAGCTTGGTGAGCCATTCGTGCATCACCCGTGGAAGCTGGGTTCTTTTGGAGTTCCAAGCACATGATCATACAGTTGTCGAAGCGCATGTCGGAATCGACATCGTTTCCTCTGCGCTACGGGACGGGAGTTTGTTCCAACGGTCGAAATTCTCGATGAGTTTGCTCAGACCCGATGCGTGTTTGCTATCAATAGTACTTACTGTGCTATATGGCAGAATTGATGTATGCAGGTCCACGAGCAAGAGGATAATACAGGCCAGGGTAGGAAGTAAGAGCTATCAATAGAGTGGTAGATGGGCCTCCATCTCGGGATCTCAAGAACGCAATCATCTCCACCAACACTAAGCTTCCTGGTTGATTTAGTATTGGTGGAGATAATTGGATTCTTGAGATCCCGAGGCGGAGACCCATTTACCACTCGATCGATAGTCGAAGATGGGGGGTTTTAGGCTATAATGTGGTGGTTTTAGGCTATGGTGTGGTGGTTTTGGTGAGGGCTTGGCAAAAGTGGCCCGATCGCCCATGTAGATCGCCCGCCTGTGGGGTACATTATATTAACTGATCAGCTTTAGTAATTGCAGAAGCAACCTAGCTAGAATTTAGCCAGCTAAAGGATCCAGTACTACAGAGTAATAGCTAATATTCTGAGGGGCTGGGAGAGAAAGTGTCCCGTTATACCGTGTGTCCTTGTACGTAGAGATCGGCGTTATAGCAGTTGGTTCGGAGGCGAGGATATTGCAAGGATATATAAACGCAGGTTGCTGTCCATAGGTTGAGATCAGTTCCCATCAGTCAACTACTACCCGGGCTTTTCCAGCAGAGGATATTGCAGTTATGAGGCTCCATACTTCCATCCTGGCAACAGCTGCCATCTTTGTCAGTAGCGTTACTGCCTTCCCTTCTTCAGTTTTCGAGACTAGCACCCCGAAGCCATGGGGCTTTTTCGTAAACAATACAATCTATCAGACAACTGGCAGCGAGAGTATCACTTATCCTCGCTACACTGAGTTGCGGGATGGAACTATTATCGCAACTGCATCGCTATCTGGAAACTCGCCCAACTTTTTCCCTATCTTTGAATCCAAGGATGGCGGTGCTACATGGAAGCATGTCTCTGACTTGCGCGATACTGTCAATGGCTTTGGTATGAGTGCGCAGCCTGCCTTGACAGAATTAACCGAGCCTATGGGAGGCTACCCAGCGGGCACAATCTTGGGTAGCGGTAACAGCTGGGGGCCTAATAGCACAAGGATCGACCTTTATGCTAGCAAAGACCGGGCAAGAACATGGCAATTTGTAAGCCATATCGCCGAAGGCGGAAGACCCAATACCACAAACGGAGCCACACCGATCTGGGAGCCGTATCTGCTGTAAGTTCTATTCCCTTATATCTTTCCGATCTTCGAGTTAACAACGCCCTAGTCAGTACAAAGGCCAGTTAGTCGCCTACTACTCGGACCAACGTGACCCGAAGCACGGCCAAAAGCTCGCTCACCAAACATCCACCGATCTCAAGACTTGGGGTCCTGTCGTGAACGATGTAGCCTATGAACAGTACACCGCCCGTCCCGGTATGACCGTTGTGGAATACATCCCGCCTCTGAAGAAATGGATCCTCGTACACGAACTTCCAATTGGCAACTCCTCCTCCTATGGCTCCAACTACCCCGTATATTATGTTATGGCTGATTCTCCTCTGGACTTCCGCAAGAGCGTCGGTCGACCCATCGTCATCAACAACAGCACCGTGCCCAATGCTAGCCCATATGTGGTCTGGAGCCCTGTTGGTGGACCCCTAGGTACAATTGTGGTATCTGACGCAGACCGGAGGCAGGTATATACAAACTCGTATGGCGGTGCTCTAGACAAGTGGGAAGAGCATGCTACGCCTGCGGGAGCAGTGTACTCGCGTGCTATCCAGATCTTCAAAAAGAGACCAGATCATCTGATGATCTATGGTGGTGAGACATTCGATGATTTTGGCAAGGGACTTCACACGCCGTTTTCGGCGACAGTACTTGATCTCAAGAAAGTTTTGAAGGCGCCTGCGCAGGAAGGGTGATGATGATAATGATGATAAGTAGGACGAGTATCAACAGTAAAAGTAGTAGACATTAGAGTGATGATGAGTGCAGGTAGTTATGGTATGAATATGGCATAATCAGCGAAACACAATGTACCCAACATCAACAAGGCTTTTGGCTTACTTTTCATTGCACGAGAACGATACATGTAATAACGCAGCTGATGCCTAAGTCGTATCGGTCTAGATGATATCTGCAAGTGAAGAGGCGCCCGCGCTACCAGGTCGTTCCCCGCTAAGTGGTCTAGCATCTAGTATCTCATCAACTTAGTGTCCATTTGGTAGGTCACAGAAAAGGTATATATAATATTGTTAGAGCTATTCAATCAAATATCTTCTTTTTTTGCATCTAAGGCATTACAAGTAACATGGGATAGAATAACGAAAAATCAGATGTATACAGTAGTGACTGATATCGCCTTCCCGTTCCTGCCCTTTGGTTATCCTGAGTGCATGGCGCTGAGAAAAGCCCTGACTAAATGAGTGTCAACGCGAGTTGTGAGTTGGGCCGTCCGTAGTGAGTATGGAAACATTGCGGGCTATGCAGAAGTTTATTTATAAGCAAGATGGAAGGCTTAAAAGTTACTTTGGTGGTACATGATCTTGCCACCGCTAGTAGAGAGGATGGTGACCCGCATAGGCCTACAGAACAAAGCAAAACAGCAGATTGCGTTCCTAGACAAGAACCAACTGGCTTCTTGAGCTACGTCCTGTCCACCACTCTGCATTACCTATAGTGAGAGTCTGTCCAGCTAGTCTGTAGCAATACAACCTGTACTCGTGCCTGTCCCTTCCGTCTATGAGCCCGCACCGTGACAATGTATTAATACGTGTGTGAAGTTCTCGTGGTTTGAAGCAGATATGCCTCTTGCATTTTTCGAAGTAGAGGGGTTTTCAAGCTTCAAAGAAGGACAGTAGGTAGAATCTCAATTATAGGGACAGTAGGCTTAAAGCTTCATTAGCAGGATCTGCCATAATTTCAATCGATCGTCCGTAGTGAAATAACCGTTATCGTGCCAATTTAGGCGGTACGTTTACTACCAAATACTGATTGTATAGTTATATTCAACGCATGGATTAAGATATTAGTATTGGGAGCCATGACATATTGAGAAGAAAGTGAATCAAAAACACTAGAAATATCAGCATCTTAGCTATCTCTAGCTTGGAAAAGATCTCTTAGTTATGCTAAGATATCAGGCCCAACTAATCCATTGATAGACTACCGCTAGCAAGAACCTTTGAAATGCATCTCCATACATCCATGTCGTTAATAGCATTTTTTCAGGCCAAAGTCACTAGCATAGGCTATGCTACAACCTTCCGGTGTACCGTGATCACCATTTGTCTTGCAAGTGTCGATACAATCTCGACCGTGACAACCCCGTCCTGCTCCGCAGTCTTGAACGCACTCCTTATTTTCTCCTTTGTAATTCGGCCCTGAACACTTGCAGTATGATTTACAAGCTAAGGTAGCAGGTAGGCAGATAGCCAGTAATGTAATGATGTAGTTTGCAAGTCTCATGGCGGGCGACTGTTGGTGGAGCTCGAAGATAGCAGATGATGTAGAATTGTGAAGGAATTTGTACTGAGCTAAGAGATGCCGAAGAGGGCAAGAAGAGTCGATTAATAGTTGGCCACGTCTTCACTTCGGTGAAATTGGACTTAGCGAAAGGACAGAGTGTTAGGACCGCACAGCATTAGCTCGAGGCGATTTTCGGCGACAGTGCAAGGTCGAGCGACATCGAGTGTGTTGGAATGGCAGCATAGCACGGGCAGCATGGATATTATCATAGTAGGATGGATAGCAGATAGCGCGAATAGCACAGATAGGAGGGTAGTATAACAGGATGGTACGAACAGTAGGATGGCAGGAGACAGACCAGTGAGTTTAGTAGTAGATCGAAGAGACGGAAGCTGAGATGCTGTAGAGTGGAGCACTTGCCAGCATCCTCAATTGTCCCGAAGGTCTTGAGATTTGACCCTGACGCTATCCGTGCCAAAGCTTATCTTACTAGTAACGAGCTAAGCCAGCCGCGCTGACGCTCGCCTGCGGCGAGTGCCAATGCTCTCAACAATATCACCGCCCCAACAATATTCTTCATAGCTCTATCAGCTGAATCCCCGTTACTATGTTGCTGGTGAAGCTGAATCCGTAATCTCGGGCGATATCTGGAGCCAGTAATACTTCAAGGGCAAGTGTGCTGAAGGTGCTATCGCTAGTGTACAGTATGTCTTAGTTGGGTCTAATGCTGACTTATCTCATATCCATCACGGAGGGAATAGACGTCAGCAACCTGGTAACACAGACTAGAAAGAAAAGTCTAATTATCTATAGGCCGGAGGAGCACCGGTACGAGGATGACGCTGCTTTTTTTTCTTAGTAGAGCGGGCGCATCGGCATGTTCAAGCAGAACAAACGGCGACGACGGCTAAGGTCGCGTTGCAACAGCGGGGCTAAGCATCTGGCCGTAGCAAAGACTTCTAGGGAAGCCGTAGACATTCACCACAGCTATCCTTATTTGCCAGCTACTAGGGGCATAGAGTCGAATTTACTCCGATAGCATACAGCAATATCTAAGCATGCTACTGTAGGCCGTGTACATACTATGTGCTGCTGACAGCGCACGTCCTTGGGGACGCCCTCTAACGATCTATCCCTCTAGGCGGAGAAACTGCCGGGATATCGATATGTTATTGTGAATTGACCTATTAAAGCTGTTGCCTCTATCTTTGCTCTCTAAGCTTCTCTTTTGGCCCACTGAGCTATTTGCAGAAGTATACCATCGCGGAGAAGCAGGTGACGTTAGAGAAGAGTTAGAAGACGGCGTTGAGGGAATAGATAACAGTACGGTTAATAACAGGCTTTTTTGAGTGGGAACTGACATAGCACGTGTGGCTAGTGTGTGTACACAGTCAGCTAGTAAGTGTTACATGGAGTAGGGGTTCTATACTTCTTTCAAATCACAGACATAATGGTCATCATCTTACTGATACCGATTGTTCTGGGACTCAGATGTCAAAATCGCGAAAGATTGTGTTGATCTTGCTATCTAGTGTCGGCTCCATGTAAATCAGTGTCCCAGAATCTAGCAGTCTTTTCAGAAGGTACAGGTGCTGCCAATCTGTCTGACGAGAGATTCAACAGTATTAACAACTTCAAGTTCCCATGAATTGAGTAGAACGTTAACCCTGTAGACAAGCTCCACCATTCTAGCCCCGAACTTCGCGATCCTGAAAACCAAGATTTGGTATCTGGTGAAAAGAGAGCGTTGCGGACCTGTTCCGAGTGAACATGAAGCGCATGAACTGTCTGCCTTTTTGCTACACCTAACAACCTGATCATTCAATTTTTCAATGGCCACAAGGAACAAGCAAGATCGATGGGCTCCCAAAAGAGTTTCGATGCGCGCAGAATCCTTCTTTCCATGGCTTTCATACCCATATCGATTTTCTGAGAATAAACAGTAGCGTCACCATACAATCATGGTACTGCTAGCGACGCCTCGAGCGAGAACTATCTATTAGTTGTATGTTCAGATATTTTCAAAATACCTTGTCAAGCCCCTCTGCGAAGTCAACGAATTCATGTTCCCTGGGACGCCTCCCCTCTAATCTTCACGATCATATCAAAAACCACCTCAAATAGCATTCAGACCTATCAAATTACGGCAAGTCATGGAAGGATCTTGTAGTCTCCACGTAGTCCCTTTGAGGCCGCTCGTGGTATTCTTCCCATCCAAATGCAGAAGTCAATTGAGTGTACTTAGGAGCATAATCCGTCATATCGATCCACATCCATCCAACGTCTTCGTGATCATCATTAGTCTCGCCGCCATCCCAGTCTTCAGTAAATTTTTCAGCGGGTACCTCTGTTACTTCGCCGTCCCAGTCTGTGGTCAGAATCTTCAAGGCTGGATCTTTTAATTCAGGCTCCTTAGGCCCTCCCTCCAGCGAGCGTAAGCAATGCTGATCTACGAATATGCAGTATCGCCATCGAGGCGGCATAATGCTCAAAGGATTGTCCGCGTGGTGCTTCGTATTGATAAGCAATTGTTCACGAAACTGTGTAAGTCCGCCTAGCTCTTCTAGGTAGTTATCGGGGAGCTGTTGGGGCAGATCATCTGCTACCCAAGCGCGAAATGCGCGGCGCGCGGCGTATGCCGCTGCGCCGGATGAATCTGCGCCGGCGAGCATTGCTTCATCCTCAATGATGGTCATCTCGTGACGTGAAAGCAGCTCTGATTGATCTGCCTTTGTCAAAGACTCCGAGATCTCTGCACGAATAAGTTGGAGTATTTGGGCCCACGGCGCATCGCTAGATGGACCATAGACAGCGCGGACGATAACAAAACCCCATTTTGTGTCTGGCTGTAAGGGAGTCAAAGCAAGCTTGTCTTCGATTTCATGATACTCCTTCGGACTCGACTCTTGCTGTGCCAAGATCTCTTGACACCGTCTGAGAACCTCGGAATTAGTCTCGGAGGCGGCAGTTGACGACATGGCATGTTGGCACCAGGCAAACAATGTGTGAGGAGTGGCCTTGGAATTGTCGAAAAGTGGAATCGGCCGTTGATTGCCACAAGGAGGAAATGTGGGTACGTTGTTGGAGACACAAGCGTCGATTTAGCATTCGCACTATGCAAAGAGATATGCCACATAAAGAGGTAGCAAACAGTCCTTCTATAGTAGGTGGGTTTCTGTAAGGCACGAAATCGATCACGCTTGACGTGTAGTGGGAATGGTCAGTCCAAATCATCACCCCTGGCGTGGCCAAGCGCCGGATAATGCGCAACTTGTTTTAAGCTTTGGCCATCCCCGCTAATTTTCCCGCAGAAGGGAAGCAGGGAACCTTGGTTATGCACGTGACTTCAATGCCTGGGCGCTCGCCTGGACTACTAGCTATCCTACTGGTTATCATTGCGTGTACGCTTGCATTTCAAAACTACCAAAGTTGATGGTGCGCGCTAATCATTGGA